TGAGCCACACCGATCCCGAATGATTTCAGGATTCTTGCAGCCGCCTCTGATACATTCTTCACATAAGGAATCGCTAGTCAGAAGTTAGGGTCTATCACCACGTACAGCAGAAGAATCACACGTTCGCCTTTGAGAAAGCAAGGGTAGTAGGCCGAGCCAATGACAAGATGGCCAGATTGCTGCTAGAAAGTTGGTCCTCGATTGGCATAATTAACAGAGCCACAGACCTTCATCCCGCCTACCAAGCGCTAACCCCTGCTCAGAACGGAGCACTAGGTCGGGCAAAGGAAGATACGCAGGGCCAACAGCCGGCAACCGCGGGCGAAGGTGGAAACTCTCAGAAGACATATGAACGACGTGACACATCGCATGAAGGCGCCCGCGAGGTCGAGAACAATTCAAACGGCCACCAGCAATCGTTCGGTGCAATCGATCGACATGCGAGCATCAGGTACAGTTTTAACACGCGGTCAGACAAACTCAATTGACGCGAGCAGGAGAACAGACACTATGCTCTGACGATGAAAGCGAGAATGTTTTTGAAACATCAGCTCAGAAATTGCCTCTTCTTTCTCTTCCGGGGATGATGAAAGCAATATTATATCTGGACCTCGAATTTTTGCGCATATTAACATACCGTTATAGAGAAGCCTTCGTGGAAAGTGCATTATTTTACTCAGTGTGATTTGTCTGACATCGTTATTAATCAAGTAGTTCAGATGAAGCCACTGGAGAATAAGACGGTAAGGAGTACTTACATGGCCCCCTGCACAGGACACGGAAATAGGATCGACCGGCCAAGCTATAAAGGTGACCCCGTGCATGATTCCAGGACGGGTAAATATTCCCGTGCCCTAGCCCTTATATTAATCCTAACGTATCTCTAAAGCCTAGTCGTAGTCCTAACCCTAACTATAACGATAAAGCTCACTCTAATTTCCCTGTAATTTGGGGCAAAGGCATCTGCATTGCGGGCGGCTCTTGTTCTCATGTCCTATTAAGGGGACCGTATAAGTCATCCTTACCAGTGCGAAAAGCGTGCTGAACAATGTGTATAAATGGAATACCAACGAGGACATTGGGATAGCCGTTTTCGGTCTATAGCCTGTATTGGCCCCATTCCCGGTGGTTGTTTCGGCGCTGCGCTTCTTCCGTCGACTATGCATGGGAAAGTAAGGGGCAACTGAGACCGACAATGGGCTATCCCTCTTCACGGCACATCAAGTCACTCAGATTTATATCAAATCTAGCGTGTTTGCGTCTATCACGACGCGCCCAGAATCAAGACTTGGAAGGTCGCCAACTGGGGGTATAACTTGGTCCTCTCAGGACTGAGACTCAGGTTTATAATGGCTCTTCCCCAGTGTAATCTCTATGGCACTCTTATCCGTGCGGCGGCCGAGCAGCCCTTGATTTATTTGTGGGGTGAGAACCAGGCCGTGAGTGGCACGCATAGAGTAGCTGTTCAAACCTTCTCGGCTTT